CTGCACCGCGCTGCGACCGCGGCACCTAGAACACTGCTAGATACGCGCCCGTTGCTAACGTGGAACTGATTGCTTTCGGGATAATCGGGGTGTAGAATACCATCGTGTTGGAATTCGGGGGCCATGTTCCTCGAATTCAGGGGTTACAAATGCAATTCTCTTGGTCATGATTCTATAGTTGTTTGACTGCATCTTCCCGATTTTCGCTGCAGGCTTTCCAGTTTGAAAAGCTTCGTGGTTTCAAATTCCTTTGCTTGCTGGAGCACATGAGCGGCCGCGGCAGGAAGAGGCGTGCCTTGTCGGACATCGGCGCCGTCACTGCGCACGGCGTGGGCTGGACCGTTTTTACATCGATGAGTGCAATGTTTTGGGGCCGCAGCGTTTTTGCAAGGAGGATGCCGAGGCCGACCTGGAGAGGCGGCGAGCTGCGTCTTCTCGGGAGCAGCTGCGTTTCGCAGCGCAACGCATGAAGCCTAGCTTTGCCAGTCCGGTGTCTTTAGAACTTTGCGGCATCAACGTTCAGTATCCTTGGGGTCGGCTCATCCGGGCCGGGGTGAAAGCCGTCGAGGCCCGCAAATATCCACTTGGCAGGTACCCCAGTTTGATTGCGGGGCACGATTTATTTCTCATCGAGACTCCTGGCCAGGGTTCCATGCAGGCGACGTTGGTGCACCGCCTGAAAAGGCTCGCGTCATTGGCGTGGTTCGGTTCAGCGGCTGTTTTCAGTTTGCCCATTTGGCGGAGTTTGACCTCTTTCGGGACCAGGCTCGAATCATGTCGGGTGGCAGGTACGATTGGTTGCATCTGGGTGACGGTCCCAGCTTCGGCTGGGTGGTGGGCAGCGCGAAGGAAGTGGAACCCATGCCTGCTGACTCGAAGACAATGCTCGGCTGGCAGCATCCGCGTTCTTTGACTGTGAGCTTCCGCGCTGTGTAGCAAGGTCTCCCAAGGAACTGGATACGCAGTTTATGGCTTATGGATCTCTGTAAGGCACTTGTGCTCGCATGGTTCCGGTGGATGTTGCACGTTCGATCCGTGATGGAAAGACGTGCAATTTTCCTGTCGTGCTCTCCAGGTGCCAGGCTGAGTAGGACGCTAGCTCGGGCGATTTCGTTGTTTGCCATGAGCCCGATCCGAGATGGAAAGGGCAGCGACTTGGTGTCTGTAGTTCCGTGGAGACTGTAACCGGGATTAAAAGGGCCAGTGACTGGATGATGTTCACACGGCTAGAATTTCAATGCTTCACTGATCGCTGACCTAAGTGAGCCAGGAACCTTTTTTTTTATCATCCTGTCACGAACCTGCTGGCGTGTCTGAACATATGGCTTGGAGCTCAGTTTCATTGTTTTGTTGCCCAGCTGTGCACTTTGCAACCCACACTACGGTGTTTCCTCACTGAGCTGATCATTCCGGCTGCACAAACGACCAGCTCAGTTTTTTCAATATGCGGTGTTCTTGTTTTTTCGCGTTCGCGTTGCCAGCTGCTCGCATCGTTCGGAACGATCGTTTCGCCCTCTCGTCGCTATCCGTATCATCGCGCGGTAATATTTTGTCTTCTTATATTTATCTTTTAAATGTATCTCTTCCTTCCTTTGCAGGGTGACGCTATCCAAATAGTATATCAGTTACACTCGGGTTAAACTACACGTGTGGGGTTCTCCGGTCCTTGAATTTTCCCTGTGTCGCGCCATTTAATTCGGAGGGTCCACACGCAATTTAAATGCATTTTTGAGATTTTTCCGAGAGTTTGTTTCATTCTTCGCATAGGTACATGTCGCATTCTGATTTAGCCAGCAGAATACATGGTGCTAGGTTTTATGGCCCCCCCCTTACATATGGTCTTGAGCGGTGGTGGTAACCCCTAGTCCCACCACTTTTGGGGATGGTCCCGGACCACTTCTGGTCACCGTGGCGACGGTGCCAAAATTGGTCCGGGGACCCTTTTCTTGTCGCATGCGTTCTGCAGTGTAAGCGTGACTACCTGTTCTTGCAGGCTCCAATTCTTTTTTTTGTAGGACTTGGCAGAAATTTTTCAGGCGGTGACCTGATGCTGCAGGTAGGCATGAGCAAACTGGACTTTTTTATGGCAGAACCTGGGACTCTTACAGACACTCTGCTCCATCTTCTCTGCATTGGTTTAGATTTCCTTGTATGGTATATATCTA